ACGGAATTGATGGTTAAATCAAATAACGCTGCTTTTTTTAGCCTTTTTAGAGTAAAGCCTCTATAAGCAAAGAGCCTCAGATACTCACCTCTTTTTTAATCCGAAGGAGATTTTACATAATGTAAAGTCTATTAGAGCGCAACAAAATCCACAAATTAGAGTTTTAGGCAAGAAGCCTGCGATTGACTTATATGATCGTAGAATGACATTCGAGGACACCCGACTCGGATGCACCTTACGGTGCTTCAGATTCCGAAATTATGAAATGAACAAATTGAATAGGCCACTGAATCCATGCCGGGAGGCGTGAGAATTAATACTGAGGTGCCACAAAACAACAACAACAACAACAACAACAAGTTAAAAGACTGCCGAAAGGTCCAAACATTTTTTGAAAATGCGCTTTTCCTTAGAAATGAAGGCACCTGAAAATCCTGATTACATCAACAAGAATTAATCGTTAAAATTGAAATTTTGCATTTTTCCTAAATAAATGCCTATTGCTCTTGAAGATCCTTTACTAATGAATCGGCCTTTTAGCAATGCAAAGTGTCACAAATGGTTGCTTGGTCCTAAGGCAATCTGGAACAATTTATAACATGGTGTTTATATAACGGCTATCCTAATATGTTTTCCCGACTTTTTATAAAGATGGCAAACAACATCTTTATAAACAATAGTACGCTTTTCAAAATCAGCTAAAACGATGACGAAAAGGCTAAGTGAAAAAAAAGGAAATTAATAATTGACGGTTAAATCGTCGTGATGGTGCTAGATTTTACTGTATTTTAATAAGTATCTACAGGGCCAAAAAAATCGTATTTCAAACGCTGTCAAATGACACGATTTTGGCGAATACTGTAAAAAAGTCTACTGATATACGAACTGTTGGTTAATAAAAATATTTATGCTCTAAAGAGGTAACTAGCACACTTCAACAATATGTTTAGTAATAATAATATAGCAATAATGATGCTAAACCTCACACCTAAGATAAAGCGCTCAACTGTACTAGCATCGTACACAGCTAACATCACCACCGAAAAAACGTCAATATGAAGTAACAGCTAACCTACAGAAACAGAAACATGCTATCTGTTATTAGGAGCACAAATATGAATTATTAAGACACCGCTATGCAACGCTTATAAACAAGCTGAAAGCGATCTTCTATAAAGAAACGATAGAATATTTAATAAACACTTACACAAGTTGTTCTGAAGATATTATTTACATTTCATTGCAAACGAGTCTGCATTACAGGTTCAGGCTTCTCCCCTACCAGAGATGTTCGAAATCATTACCATTCTAATTTGTATTGGCCATTGCGGTGAGCTCAGAACCTCAGTTTTCCAGTGTTATGGATTTTCTGTCGAGACGTTATACCGTCATAGCATTGTGGGTAATATGCTGCACGCTAATCGAAGAGACACTTTTGGTTTAGGTTCGAATCCGAGCGTACGCACACTCCTCTCCGTGCTAAGAGCCAATGAAATGTCTACCGGTGACGAAACCTTTTGTCCAGCTTATCGGTTTGAAAAGTTCTTATCAAGATATACTGTTACATCGCGATCACACAGTACAGGTGCTCCATTCTGTTGGAAATAAAATTCACTATCTTCACCATAGCCCTCATGGCAAAACACGTTCTTGCAGTGAAGGCAAGTGCGTGACACGAATTACTGTACTGTCGAAAAATGATATGTCCAATGAAATTACGGTTAGCACCTGTAGAAAGAACTGAAAAAAAATCAGCATTAGTTAAAAATTCATTTCCAATGGTGCTGAAATGAGCAATGTATATGATATTGATAAATATTTCAATCTATACCTATTAAAAAAATAAAATTTCTAGCCAAAACCTATGGCTAACAGTCAACAAACTCGCAACAAAAGACAGCGCTAAATGACACTGATTAACGTTGCTTTGCTTACGAACAAGGTGGTGTTTAGGTACGCCGTCTTTATGAGCAACTAACTGAGAGATGTTATCGGTGTAGCTGCTTGAGCGCAACTTATGGAATAGATCATTACAGGCCCGCGTACACTTACACGGCAAAAATTACATCTCTCTGATTTGAAATGTGCTATAGGGGTATGTGTGTTATAGGGGCAGCCAAGGAGCCCACTTGCATACAATTTAGACCCACATCTGAACTATCTGTCCGCAATAAAATGATCGAATGATCCATTTACATTTCCGGCTAGATGCTTCCTACACATCCCATATGCGTATTTTTAGAAAAGCTAGAAGATTACAGACCTAATGGCAACGAAATTGATCTAAAAACAAGTTTATATTGTTATTTGAACATAATAAATTGTTTCTCCTAATGTTAGCTTAAAAGGAGAACTGGTTGACCCTAGTCGATCGACCTTTAAGGAGATCTGATAACTTAGGTGGATGACTGCAGGCTCGTGGATCCATGAAGAGCTCGATTTCTCAGCAAAAACGTATCATTTCCTTTAGTGAGCACACGAATGAGTAAAATAAGCGATTGTGTTTCAATAAAAATTGGCGTGTCTCTCCATAACAAAACGATACGTCAGACAAATAATGCACGGTGTATGAATATCGCCTTTAACTCCAAATCATCATGAGTGGCGTTTTACATATTAGAAAAACTACCTCAATGATAGATACACTAACTGATTGCATATGTACATGCCGTCAATCAATAGACGACTCGGTCTAAGTTTTTTGTTGCAGCATTTCATTTTGTTGGCAGTACGACTTTTTAACGTAAACGAATTCACCGAAAACAGTTTTGATTCGCGAAAGATAACCAGAAACAACACTGCTTTTTATTGATAGTTTTAAGAAAAATGTTCGCGAGCGAGAAAGAAATCTCGCAGTTAATCGCAGAACCTACAACGCCTTAAAGCAATCTCTTAGTTGAGGCGCATGTTCACTCTGACCACCCCGTGGTAACTTTGCGGGAATAAATTAGTATTTTAGTTATATGCGTGTTTCGTTGACGTTGAGAATATGTGCATTCGCTTTATTGGGTATAGGCTAACATTAATATTTTATCTTCTTTTCTAACTGCCGATGTAGTTGTAACCGTATGGGGCTGAGAGTCCAAATCCGCGGACTTGAACGCCCGCTTTTAGATGGCATACCCAATACAAAAGATGTGTGATTCTTTTTGAATTTGTTAAAAGCTAAATCGTGTTTGTGTGAGGCTCCGAGATTTAAAAAGATCTCAGGTTCCTATTTACCTACGCCAACAAAACACTTGGGGCTAAAAATGGTTACGGTTCTTGCCGTCGGTAAGCAAACAATCGAGAGTGACCCAGATGGGGTAGCAAGGCGCTCAAAATGCCTTCCCTTAATATTTGCAACTCCCACAAGTATCGATCATCGGGTAGCAACTTTAATCCTAACATATACAGAAGTCTACTTCGATTACTAGCAGTGATCACAGACGAAAACATAGCACGAGATAGATTTTATCTGCCGCCATATTTGTCCGACAAAGCATCATTAGTTTTAAAAACAATGATGACAATTCCTGGTAGTAAGAACTTGCTATGAAGCGTGGCTAGATCAAAAAAGTCGGGTTTCCATTTTTACTCTAAGTATCTACAGTGATACCTTTATTTTAAAAAGGCATAAGATAAAAATTCAGAGCTATAATTCAGTAGCAGGCCATGGTTTTTCCAAGAGACGATCTACGACTACGCAGTTCGTTACAAAGGTTCAGGACTGAAGTTTATCTATACATAACGCTAGTGTTGTTTTTTTCTCTAGATTTCTCTAGTGTTCCATGGAATTAATCACGGGCGTTATTTTCGAGGTTCATGTTCTTAATTATCAACAATAAAACCATGAGAAGAGCAAAGCCTACTTTTAACAGGGTACTTACCTTCCGCCCCAGGATAAATTCAATATTGAGAAATCCTGGGGCTCGCTCGTCAATTCAGTCTCCGTGAAGAACTCTATCTTGATCATTTGTTCTTTAAAATACATGGTCTTGACCTCAAAAGAACCCCAACGGGGTTACGTGTATGTTGGTCGCCGCAAAAATTTGCACTTTTATAGCAAATAGAAACTACAAACAGACCACGAACAGCAGTTGACAATATTTCGGACTAGCGCCAGCAAAATCACATGCTGTTCTTGGGGCATATACCGCGCTTATCGACGTATTTGTAATCCCTCAATAAATGTGATATTATATGGTGTATACTATATTTTGTACCCTCTTGGAATAATGTACACTTGAATTGAATTGGGTTGTCGTGCAAGATTGAAGTAGGTCTTGACTGAAATTGGACTTTGTAGCGGTTTTGAAGCGTATAAGAAATTCGATACGACGGAACTATGAACAACTATTATAAAACATAATCTTCCGATATTCGTTGAAGAACTAAATTTGATTTTTTCAAACGTTATTAGTTGGCAGTATGCGTAAGCGTATATGTAAGTGTTCTTATAAATTAACTATAAAGCTCTTTGCACTTGTCAGCTGGGTTAAGAATGTGAGCAATTGTATTTTTTTTTTTCAAGAAATATTTAAGCCACTAAGTTATTAGTAAGTTGACCTAGTCACTAAAGAGACCACGATATAAGTTGTGATATTATTATCCGTGATGTGAAGTTATTCGTGATTACACTTTGTGTGATGTGAACAGTACGTTATGTCAACCACCCGTATGAGCTCTGAGACCATATTATTTTATTTATTAGCAAATAAGCTTAGAGCTGTAATTTGTTTAAATAAATCGTGTTTGTTTTAGAAATACAGAACTATAGCCAGTTGCCAATGAATGGCTACGCTCTGAGCGTATCGTTGGTTATAACGATCACCCGTCGAAGCACACCGCCAGAGGCAGCAGCAGCCAGTTATACCTCCGTGAATAGTCAGCGCTAAGTGCGCATGCGCAGTGGCCCGTTGAAGACGAGACAACCATCCCATAGATTCCTCTGCTGGTGGACCCTGAGCCATCTGCGGAGGCAGATCTGTCTCTGTTGGTTGCGCATCCCGTTGGCCATGTACTGGTCACCGCCTCCTAGTTACTAAACACAGTGACGGAACCAGCCGTACTGGAATCCAACAGGAAACCGAAGCACTGAGCTGCGGACCGCTGCTATGGCAAACACTCAATACATAGAACTAACGCCATAATAATTTGTCAGTAGTTGGCTGCCAGCTCTTCAAATAGGCGGTTAAGAACAACCAACTTCACTACACGACCAGTGGCACTGTGAGCAGCATTTATGTTACGCTGCGAGTACCGATTCGAATCGTTCTATCTGTTGTGCCAGTGTTAGAGTTCTCGTACCGACCGCGTAATTGAGCTGGAGTTGAGCCAGCTTTTAGCAGTTTTGTCTGCGCTAATAGCGGGCACCTTAGCTCCAGCTTCTGACGGTGTATGAACGCTTTAATGGCGCTAGAATAGAAGTGCTTTAACGCCCGACTCCTTTTCCTGCTTGCTCCTTTGCCGTAGACTCCGCTGTTTACTTCCTGCTCTCGTAGCTGTGGTAGCGGCGGCGTTTGTCGTAATGGTTATGCTAAATCGGGATGCTAAGCTGACCATCCAGCTGCCCCGAAAAATTCGTTGACGAAGGAGGCGCAGGGAATAGGCAAGTGATGCTACATTTTTCCGAAGAGAAGGCTCTAACAGCACGAAGCGAAGGACCACAGCACAGCAGAACGTAATAGGATTAGTTCACTGTTTGCAGCTGGTCCCAGATGGCAGTGGCTGGGCATCGCCAAGGAAACTATTGTGCTTACTAGAAGTAGTGTTTCTTTGCTAGAGCAGAAGAACAGCAGCAGCGAAGCCGTGGTGGCCACTGCTTGATATTTATAGCGTTGGCAAGTTAAGATCAACAAATACGAAAGACAGCGACTCCTTTGGAGCTCTTGCGGATCTAGAATAATCGGATGCTTTTTCTTAAGCAACCGAAGATATCAACAAGTACGTGTCAGTCCAAAACCAAATGGGCTAAACAATGGCGGACAGCAAAGACGGCGCGAGCTACGATCTTACGAGTACACGAAGATAGTTTTGGCAATAGTTAGTATACCTCTTTCGACTTGAGGATAGAGTGTCCAGTAAATGTCCGTATCAAAAAGTGAGCGAGCAACTCTGGGCATGAGATGCGTCTAACTGCAGTAAGCAGCAAGAAGGGACCGGCCATTGGAAGATCGGAATATGTTTATTATTGTTATGTGAACTGGATGGCAGAACTAGCGGTATTGTTGTAGTTTTTGCAGTTACACTTTTCGGTACAGACTGCCTAAACTGCTACCACCATTATCCCTGAAACCTATGTAGATTTGTGCCGTTGTTCGTCAACAAGTATTCTCCTAACGATGACGAGCGACTGTTGGACTGTGCAAAATGCCACCCCATGATCGACACACTTTGGGATAAGTTCTTGCTTAGTAGGAATCCTAAAACACGAAAAGTCGTAAGGATCTTCGCATTCGTTCGTTGTTGCTCTCATTCATTCGTTCCAGTTGTGACGCTCTGCTTCTGATGACGATGCCAATGTTTCACTAATTCGTTAGTGATAGCTACAACTGAGTGCACGAAGAATGAACGCGCCTGCGACGAAGCTCTTCACAGTAGAATTACTACTTAACATACTTATCCTAGAGAGGTTCAAATAGATTTTATCTAGTGGCCTAATAGATTTATTCGTTCATTTGGGTGCATGGCGTATTACCCGCACGGACAAGCGGTGATGGTTCTTGGATGAGGAACAGTGACCTACGGCAACACATGTTAGAAACTTTTATCAAGTGAGGGAGAGAAACCCCTGTCAACAAACACTAAAGAGTACACACATCTTGCAACTTGTAGCGTCTTCCACAACGACGAAATTAGTCCACAAAAGTGACGTTAGGCGTGGACTAATTGTGCTCACCTATTTGATGACAAACAGTGTGCTGTGGATACCTTGGATACAAATAGATTTTGTTTTCCTTATGATTTAGAAAACTGTAACAAAAAATAAGCTGGACTTACCAACGGTAACAACCCATCAAGAGTTTGAGAGGTAAGCTCACATTTTTTAAAGCCCGCAAGAAGCTTTCTTACACATCATACATTTCTCATATACACAATTCTTACGCGTATTTTAGTAATTACCAATTAAATATTGTTAACTTTTTATTTAGACAAAAATTAATATTGAACTATGTTAAAGTTATATAGATAATTGCCTTTGTCCAGTATGGCTAGTCATTTTGGGGCGTCCCATAGTTCCTGATAACCGTCTCTACCATTTCGCACTTTCCATTTTATAAGTTGGCTTCGATCGTAAAATAACAGTATACAGTATATGTCAATCGTCGGCTGATGGAGCAATAAATTATGGTTTCCTTGACGTCATTTGAACCAAACCTTCTACTAAAATCGACACTTTCATACTGCCAACTGGACGCACCAATTTTGCAGAAATTGAGTATCGTAAATTAATGGTCATTCGAAGACGAGAAGTTCAACAAAGTGCATCAGCGTTTGAGTATCTTCTACACCTCGTTACATGAGCTGATAGTTCTAACTACCGAAATTCCCTGGTTACGATTTTGTATGTCTGGGATTAAGGTTAAAGTTACCGAAATACCGATATCGGGCGTGATTTTTCAACCCTCCTATAAGTTGTCAGTTACGCAACGCTACGTCATTATGTTGAATTTAGTAACCCCTAGAATCAAAGCTTTCTGAGTCTTGATATAAAATCGTGATGATTAGGAATTCTCGTCGCTCGATAAGTTAAGTTTCTTTCACGTACAACGAAATAATAGTGCAGCATAACAGCGAGAGAGTATTGTTTTGTATCCATATGTCCACTGGAAAAAAATTACGCCGTTATTTCGAATCGAAGCCGCGTACAAGAATAAGCGATATCTAAATAGGCAATGAAAGACGTAAAATAAATTTATGCACAAGCCATCCTCGCCATGGGTATCAGAGATATCTATTACTGCTAGATATTGTCCAAGACAGAAACGGTCAATGTTTCTAGATATTTTCTATTTCTAAAAAGCCTCACGAACGTGTAGTGCAATTACGTTACTCGACTGTCAAACCATGACCTCATTGCCGCGCGCCAATCACGGCCTCATATGCGACAGACTCGAATTCGTATGTTTTTAGTTGCTTCTATATCTTAAAAAGAACGATAGATGGCGCCAAAGAGTTCATCGTCCACAATTCCAAACAAATTACTAATAACGAGATAAGGTACGTTTATGCAAATGAAAAGCCTCTAAGCAGCTAGCTTCTATGTGCAAACAGTAAGTAGAAGTACATCTAATTTATACTATATTACCTTTGTTCTACGTTGTGTGCTTTAAAACCCGATTAAACTTTCGCCTCCTGAATAGCTGTGGATGTAGTAGTAGTTTAAATCCGATAACTTCGGCGTACTCTAGGTGACCACAACGATTATGAATAGAGAAAAATTGTAGCAAGTGCGGTTTACAAGTAGCTTTTTTGCTGCCTAGAACATACGACAGTCTCGCATTACCAAAACCTATTTAGTTAATAGTATCGTGTACAGTTATTGAACCTCATGAATACATTGGAGAGACCGGCAGACAAGCAAGGCCTAATCAAATAAACATAGTAGATAATGATACGATTAAAATTTTGTTACTCCCGTTGTCGGAAGTCGATGTGCAAAAGAGAGTGTTTTTTTCATTCTCCCTTATTGCGATGCTCGTATCTTGATGACAAGACGGCGTGAGGAAAGCGACGGCCATACATTTTACAATACTTATTTTATGTCACATTCCCTATTCATGTCCCAATGTGCAGCAAATACCACGCCGTTATAAACATGCCGTGTCGTATATGCTAAATAGTAATGCTCGTTATATTTCGAATGAAAGTATCCAATTTGGTGCGTGTTAGACATCACGTATCGTGTCATCATATTGCAGAGAAATGTAATAGATGGAGTATGTAGATTAGTTGTGAAATTTAAGAAACTATTGCAGCGAAACAGAAGATAGACGCACTGCTACGATATGGAGCGGTAGTCGTGCGCTATCGGTGTGAAGGGAGGGGAAAAGCTGGAATAATACATGTTACATCATAAAATTTTGCACTCGATACTGTCACGTTTTGTCATGACAAAATCATAATGTGTGTTTTTCTAGGATTAATAGAACGTGTTCAAGTTAGTGGCTCTAGGCCCCTTGTACATCGACAAATGCCCCACAATTATATTCTTACCAGATCGTAATAGCTGTTCATCCTTTTGTTAAACCCTATTATCTTTCCGAGACACAAAGAGAACTCAGTCGTGATTATTATACGTTAGTACAATAGTTGTTTTTCTAAATGGAAAATGTCTCAATCGTTCGACGCATTAAACGAACGATAGGATATCATTCAGCTTGATGATAATTTACTGACCGCTACTCAATCCACATAACGGACTATGGCGCAATTTATCAACACCATATATTTAAGTTCTGCTTGCATCGAGGATCTTCATTATTTCGGTGACATTTTTTTAGCGCAATAGGATAAAACAAAAAAAGTATGCAGAAAAGGTAGGCGCCAAATTCTAGGAGACATATGATCATTAAGTTCACATAAATCTGTCAGTGAAATAAAACGATTTGATATTTATACAGTATATATATATATATATATAGCGTCTCTATCGAAATGTGCATTGATGCGTAAGATGCATAATGCTGCGCATAAAATAAAAATAAAGATAGTTACTCATAAGCAAATATGTGTGCAGATAGAGATATTCAAGTGTAGTTCATTTCTCTACAATAAATAAACGTCGTTTTGGGCATAAGGAACGATTAGAGCGTTAGAGACTATTTCCTTTTTCAGGATGGAAATCCTTAATAAATTTGTACTAATACATTTTCACCCAACGGCATTATAGTTTAGCAATCTATGTTAGCAAGTTCAACGAGCGCTGTACCATTTTCGGAAATTAAGCGATTTCGACTAATTCGTTTTACAAAACAACAGCCATAACACTTACCTAACCTTTACACACAATCTATTAGTACACTAGTTTAGCACACTAATCTTTATGAATGAACCAGATAATATGGTCAGAAATGAGCCTGAAGCGAGCTGCCGCCTTACTCACAGCTGATGTGCCTTTGTCCGATTTTTTACGAAAAGATCTCTTATACATTCTTACACGAATAAATTATATGTGCATGTATGTCGCGAAACTTTCTAGTAAGCACGGGTTGCCATGATATCTATGTCATGCCCAGAGGTGGGATTCAAGCTTCAAGCGGCTTATACCCATAAAGCAGACACATAAGAACTATGTTAAAGTGCAATTCATCATTCAGACCATTCGAAAAGCATCTTTGTCAACTTTTTAGACAGAAGTAATCAATGACACATCTATTTAAATGCTCCTAATCACCATCTTTGGGTGACATCTAGCTTCTATAGTTATATATTGAGATATTGTTTGCGTCTCATCAGAATTATATGAAATGATAACCGACATGTCTTAGAGATTATTTACGCAATGCTTGCGTATTTTTAAAGGGTTCAAATGTAGTGACTTATAATAATAATAAAGTGATTTGTTCGTAACCACTGCAAAGTCAATAATAATTTTGGATTTGTATATTTTTATGTATTTGCCGCAAAATGCTAATCTCAGAAGTAATAAAATCATTTTTTGTAGAATTATTAAGACTTCGCGCTTTACAAAAGTAGTAACTTTTATTTCTAGATTCAGAAACTTTCAAGTACTGCACTATAGAGGTAATCTCTAAAAAATGTTAGTAAAATGGTCGTTTTACAATGCTTATGGAACGTCAAGTATAACCGACTTGCTCAAAAACACGGTTTAAAATATAACCTCAGTAAACAATAGTTAACGATATTCAGAAAGGGTCAGATATTGAATGAATGATTCTTACATTTTGTAATACTTGGCACACTGTTGAAGTTTCCTTACTGATAGCTTGTCTAGATATTCGACTTTTTTTTGAAGATTTGCCAGGATTGAAACGCATAGTACTGTTTCCACGTTCCATTAGTTCGAACAAATCCTTTAAGAAATCTTAATTATGACCTCTAAAGCAGATATCTACATTTTTGGAGAATTTAAGTTTCCTTACTTTAAAGATCCATAACTCCTGAATGGCTTAGGATTTGGATTCCTTTGAGCGGCAGATAAATAAGGGCACCTTACGATACCAGATTTAACCTAGGCGAATTTTAGCATATTCACTGTCTTCGCCATATATATATATATATATATATATATATATATATATATATATATATATATATAATGTATAGGTCATAGTCATAAATAGCGACAGATTATCGTGCTAGCTAGATTTAAATTACCTAACAAGCCGAAGTAAAAAAAAATAAATAAACGTTTAAATACCGTAGTCCATCAAAAAACAAATAAAAGATAGCCGTTTGATGCCAATTATAAACGTGTGTTTATTGTGCAGTGCCTGAGGGAAGGGTCTTTTGGGGTTAAGCACTGATCGTAATTTCCGGATTCACAGGATAAGAAAGCTTGATAATCGTGCTACGATGTCACATTATAATCAAATATTATTTCACAAGAAAAGTGGCACACGAAATACTTGTTTTTTACGCCGACAATCATTTCACCCCGTTCCACGGGTGATAATTACGTATGTCAAGCGATAGTGATACCGACACAAGTGTTCCTTTCATTGGGCTGATTTTTTTATATCTCTATTTCCCTGTCTTTGCTTACACACAATGACACAAACACAGTATAGTTTATATATCATTTATCTTTTTAAATATACAGGCTGCTATCTCTTATCGCTCACAAGCAACAGAAGCCGACACCCGGTGACTGCTGGAAGCAGTGCTGGCCTGCAACTGCTTTGGCTTCTCATTGCCCAACCCTTGTGAAGTCAACTAGAGGCAACCGGCTGCCTAGCCTAGTGCCAGTTGAAGTTTAATTCACTTTGAAAGGCTGCTAGTGTTGCAGCTGCTAAGCTAAAGCTACCGGTTCTTTGAGAAGCTCTCCATGCTCTTTGTAGCTATACA